AGGGATTTTGGGTAGATAGAGTGATAAGGAGGACGAAAGAGGATGAATAGAGAAAGAGAGAGTGATTAAATACGAAACAGACCAAGAGAGAAGTAAAAGAGACGAGCAATACGAGAATGGAATGGACGAAAGGAGTGTGTGGCAAGAGAAATACAGAAAGAGAAAGAAAATAAAAAGAGAGAGAGTAAGAAACAAAAGACGAGAAATTGAGTGTCAAGAGAGAGAGAAAGAAAAAAAAACATAGCAAGAAACTCGAAAGACAAGAGAACGAATACCAAGCGAAAGAGAAACAAATAAACAAGAAATGAGATAGAGAAAGAGAAAGATAAACAAACAGCAAGAGAAAAAGAAAAAGAAAGAAAAAAACGAGAAGAGAAACACAGAAAAAAACGAGAGAGAGAGAGAGAGAGAGAGAGAGAGAGAGAGAGAGAGAGAGAGAGAGAGAGAGAGAGAGAGAGAGAGAGAGAGAGAGAGAGAGAGAGAGAGAGAGAGTGAGAGTGAGATTGAAAGAGAGAGAAAAAAAAGACACTAGAGACGCGCACGAAGCGAATGGGAATGGTTCAAGCAGCAATTAACTCCCTAATTGCACTCGAAATGATAGCCAACAACCACCCCCCAACCCCTCAGTATCCCCCCCCATTTATTCCACACGAGACAACCAAACACCAAGTGTAGGCGACTGGCCAATCATTTCCAGTAACGAATAAGAGTTGAAAGCATAGTAAATGATAACCGCCATAAAACGAGACACGCGCCAGACTTCAAAGATTCTATTTTTAGAACGAGATGTGTTTTTTTTCTTTTTTTTTCTCGAAGGGGCAGTTTGTTGTTGTTGATGAAAGAGGGTATATGAATGGGAGAGGAATAAGCTCACGGTGCGGATTGTGGAATTGTTTATTCCTTCATCCATATATACATATATATGTATGTATATATATATATATATATATATATATATATACATATATATATACACATATATGTGTATGTGTGTGTGTGTGTGTGTATATGTGTGTGTGTGTGTGTGTGTGTGTGTGTGTGTGTGTGTGTGTGTGTGTGTGTGTGTGTGTGTGTGTGCGTGTGCGTGTGTGTGTGTGTGCTTGCGTATACATGTATGTGTATGTGTGTGTGTGTTTGCGTATACATGTATATGTATGTATGTGTGTGTGTGTGTGTGTGTGTGTGTGTGTGTGTGTGCGTGTGTGTGTGTGTGTGTGTGTGTGCACGCATGCATACATATACATATATTTGTATACACACACACACACACACACACACACACACACACATACACATACATGTATACGCAAACACGCACGCACACATACACTCACACAGATAAGCGCACACACACACAGATAGAGAGAGAGAGAGAGAGAGAGAGATAAATAAATAAATAAATATATATATATATATATATATATATATATATATATAGAGAGAGAGAGAGAGAGAGAGAGAGAGAGAGAGAGAGAAGGAAAGAAAGAGAAAAGAGAGAGAGAACGAGAGAATTTCCACTTCCCCGCAAAGCATCCTGTCTCTCATCCTGTTCGCTTGCATCTGCACTCAAAACGTAAATTCCATAAACAAGAAAACAAGATTAATCAGTATCATTACCAAAACATTAGTATTACTTGGAATACAAATGCAGCATTTAATATCGTACAAAACTTCATAGAAATCAGTGTGAAATTGCAAAGTCTCTTTCTGTGTAGCTTGATTGGTAGAAGTGGAAAGAGAAACGGGAAGAGAATGGGCGATAATCTGATAAAATGAGGGAGAGGACTGAAAGAGAATGGGAGAAGGTGAGAGGTGAATGGGTAGAGAGGGAGAGGGAGTGAGGGAGGGAGGAGGGAGAGGGAGGGAGAGGGCATTGCACTTAACATTTCATACATATAGTATTATAGAGATATTTCAATACTTTTTGCTGTATATCATACACATGCACACACACACACATATATATGTATACATACATATATAACATATAATCTCCACGTGTGGTTTCAGTCTTATCTACTAGTAGTGTTATCTATGGTAAGATTTAAAACACCATGGAAACAGCTTACTTTATAGCCTTGAAGTATTATCTATACTAATGACAGCTGGGTCATGAATTTTCATAAAGATAATGATTTTTAGTCGGACTACGCTCTCGCTTTCTGTCTCTGTCTGTCTGTCTCTCTCCATTTCCCTCGCGCAATTACTTTTACATTCTCTCTTATCCTCACTTTCATTCTCTCTCTCTCTCTCTCTCCCTTTTCTATCCGTCTCATTTCTATCTAGATGTGTTATACTTCATTTAATTCCTGTTCTCTCACTTGTTTCATTTTCATCTTTCTACCCCTTTTTACCGTAACACATTAAAAAAAAACATGTTAAATCTGGACTTCACACTCCACCAGACACGCGTTAAGTTTACAGTGCTAAAATTCGGTAATATATTCATAGTCATTTTAAAAGGAAAACACTCAGCAATTTCCTGTCTTCCCTGCTGAGATGCAAATGGGAAAAAAAAACTTTTTCGCACTCACGCTATCTCTTTTCTAGTATTGCAAGAATATTGCAGTTCTAATCAGTCACATGCAAGCAAAGCTGATTAGAGTTATTTCCAGGAAATAAAACAGAAGTCAGTAAGGGATACTTTAGACTGATATAATTTTCATGGTGTCTATACCTCTGATAGATTATTTTCAGTTGATTTTTCTCAGTAACTGTGACAAAATATTAATAATTTATATACTTAACTGTAAAGAAATATACGAAAGACAAAACATTAGTATGAACCATCAGTCAAAAAACAGTCAAAACTCTATTCAAATAGTTTTAGCAGATCAACCCTGATTTTAAGTTGTTCTGTTTACAAAGTGCATTACAAAATCTTACAAGCATATATAGTGTTGTTCACATAAGGTAATGCTGTGTTCCTTATTCGATGCTTCATTTATAATAGGATAGACATAAGAAAGTTTTTATGGTCTCTTAACTTAGAAAAAAAACGCATTATTGTTAACTTCTTTGCTAGGGATTTGGTTTCACGTTTGCCGCACAGTTTTTTTCAATGGAAATAAAGTAGAGATAACACGCAATAAAAACAGAATTTAGTTGTAGTGGCAATGACAATTATAAGCAAGGGGTGAGATAGGCCACGTTTTTTTTTGTTTCGCTATATCCAATTGGCAGTTTCGTCCCAGCCATTGAAATTAGAACGACGATGAATCAGTTCCCTTGCATCACACTCCCAATTCAAAATTTATATTTCACTCATTTTGAAAGGAAAATCAGCCTAACACGGTATGCAACACGCCTTACATTGCAGCGAGACAGCCCGAGAACTGGCATTTCCTTTGTCAAATCATTTCAGGCTGAAGCATCATCCTGTGCATAAAGCATAGTGCATAAAAATTATAAGCAATAATCTTGGTAGAACTAAGAATATTCACATATTCTTACATGTTCGATTATCATTTCTCGATCACAATCTAAATATATGTACCTATTTTGCACTTCGCAGTCAACTAACAGGAAAACGTTTACAGAGGTAGAGTAAGATTTTCTAAAGCTGTATTAGTATATTGAACCAGCCGTTGCTTATTTACCAAATACAGGTCATAAACCCTTCCTTTCATACTCTGCCACAATATTTACTTTGGTATGTCACGGGCACTGTAAATAATTTGTTATGAGGTCCCTAAATTATACAGTAATATAGTTTCATTTACCATCTCCCAAGTGTTGCTGACAAGAAGCGAACTGGAAATTAAGAAAGAAACGAATTTATATTTAAACGATAATAAGTCCACAATTTTTTTTTGGTACAACATATCTTTTTTCTAGATATTTGAAGACCTCTCCCTCTCCAGGTTTTCGTAAGGGCTTGATACTGATGACTTCCTGTCGAGAAGATAACGCTACCTGTCTACCTCTAGCTTCTGCTGTCTTGATCTCCTACTAACTGGAATTACAGGCAATATTGAAGGCGAGGGCAAGGATGAAACCCCATATAAAATTTATTCATATTGATTTGCCCTTTGGACCTTCTACAAGCAAGATAGGGTAAAGGTCTTGCTGTGACAGTCAGCAATGTGACCGAATGCCATTTTCTCATTAGAATCACCATCATGTTGAACGAGAGGAGAGGGACGGAGCAGAGTTAGAGTTAGCAATGCATCGACACTGGGGGAAGGGGGGGTGTCCAAGAGCGCTTGGTTCTTTTAAACCATTCTAGAATGACACTAGTAATTTCACAAGAACACAGTAATATGTTAACTGGCTGTCTTGTCGATATTGCTCATTTAAGTAGTTCACTCTTTGCGCAATACTATTAGCGGCGTTGACCACTCCTAGGAAGCCGAGTTAAAAAAAAATGAAAGGGTGTTCTGCAGGGTAAAAGAATAGTAGCTACGCGCCATCTAAAGTAAAATGTCAACGTGTGTTTAACAAAGAATCTGTGAACAATTGAGAAACCACTATACTTAGGAGCTGGTTGCAGATTCCGCTAGTCTGTGGACACGGGCATCAGCGGAAGAATAATTGATACGGGCAATTGACCAGTCCATCTGAGATATCCCTCCCCTCTGGTGAGAGAAGATAACCCTGTTGCTGTCATATCTGGATTTGATGACCTTGTATTCAGTGATGCGTTTTGTGGCGATGGCATGAGGCGCTAAATGTGCACCGCTGGAAGTTGAAAAATAGAGGTAGGCCTATACCACACAGCGGCGAATAGTCGAAAGCTAAAAGGACACATAAGGAATATTAAGAAACGCTTCTATACACTACACAATGGACAAGGCCGAGGAAATAGTAAAGAACAAGTACAGCAGAATGAGGATAGGAAGTTGATAGTAATTATCAGAAGAAACGCCAGGAAGGCAGAAGAAACTCCTTTTGTCCCTGATAAAGTGGCATCTTAACACAGGCCAAGGATAACCCATGCATCTTGGAGAAGGAGCAGCGTTGGGAATCGATCTATTTTGCTTTGTTATTCTGTGTCGTAGATGTGGAAGGTGTGAATAATAAAAAAAAAAATTCATGGTATATCCTATGCCAAGGGTGTCATCAAGAAAACAAAAATGTATATTCTTCGATTACTTTTATACAGAACAATGGAAATAATACTGGTCAATAGAGAGATAAAGCACAGGGACTAAGAAATATATTATTAGTCCTCCGCATCG